CGAGATGCCCAAAGTGAACAGTCACGTGGTGCTGACTGCCGTGTGGCTTTGCTCTGTGGCGCGGGATTCCAGAATTCTTCTGCCGGTCTTGGCATCCCATTCCTTGTTTTGCTGCTGTGGCTGAAGCTGTGGCTTCATTTGGCTGTTCAAGAACGTCATCGCATCTTGGCCTTTCCCACCTCCAACATGAGATCTCGAGGGAGTTCATCGCCCAGTCCAACCACGATGATTACTTGACGGGTAGAGGATTGTTATGCTTGCACAGCTGACATTGGGAATCCGTGTTAATACACTGTCTTCAAAGCTGCTAACATTCCAAAACAACTTGGGGGGAAGCCTAGCATTATGTGAGCCAATCCATTATCGAAGCAACGCAAATCTCGCTAATTCGGTGTATCGATGACTACAATAGCAGACTTCTCAATTCGCAACCATGCTCTCGTGCTGCAAACCCCGTAAGCCGTCCAATGGCGAGACGCAGCCTCTCCTCCCACAGCATGACGCCAACACCCAAATGCAGCGGGAGCTGCAGGACAAACTTCATGGTTATGAGATGGTGCGAGCTGTATATTCAGGCTTTATGCCATCCACTGCTCAGACTGTGTCGCATCTTCGAGCTTTCCTCGTCTCAGATCTACTAAATCCAGACAACCAAACTTTGAGCAAGGCAGGCAGGAAGCTGTCCCAAGATTGCAGAGCGTGGATACGCGTCTTCATTGAGGCTTTAGAGGATAAAAATGGAGGGGATCAGGTACAGGAAATAATTTGGAATTTCTCAAAATCCAGGGTGTCTGTTGACACCGCGGATCTTGCTGGAAAGGCGTCGTTGTCCAAGGCGCAGGCAGATACTGCAGCCGGTATTTGATCTCACCCATGCGGCGAGGTCTTCATTCCTTTTCTCATACTAATTTTTTAAAACAGCATATGAAAGTATACGCACGATCGCGAGCCTTTTGATGACCAATGCTGACTTTCGGCTATTGGTCGGTGACCTGTCAACTGTCTCGCGTCAGATATTTGCAGACACAGCTTCGTCCGTGTCAGCTACCGCAGCTGAGATATCTGAGCAGGTGGAACCCTCAGAGCCACAAAAGGACGCTATCGGAGGAGATGGCTCTGAAGAGGAACAACCGCCCTCCAACGAGGACGTTGCTCAAGAGGCGGGCCGAGTCGTTGATATTACTAAAGCGGGCCTTAAAAAGGCCGGCAAAGATGCGATGAGCAGCACGGAGAGAAACCTGACTGGAGAACAAAGAGACTCTTTGGTGCGTCGTATCAAACAAACAGTAATTGGTCTGCGCAAGAGGGAAGATTATTCCAATTCTGCGGGTACAATATCACACATTGTTCAGCGTTACGCAATGATATACTATCGTGCGATAGGTTCAACTGCCAGCGAGGTTGAAGAGGATTTTGAGACTAACCAGGAGCTCAACGAAGCGATAAGAAACCTTTGGACGTTTCTATCTTCGTTTGGGTCTCGAGATGATTGGGATCGTTTGAAAGCTAAATTTCAATCACTAACAAAGAAATATCAAGATGACGACAAGTTCAAAGAGTCTTTCCAACACGTTGGGTCGACGCTCTTTAATTTACTAACCAACCCGGATTTCTATGACTCCGCTGATGCATCTTTTGATACCCTGAGGACAAAACTAAAGGAAGCGAGCGCTGACTCTGATCAAGATTTAGTCGAATTTTATGATCAATTAAAACGAACCTTTTGTTCCGTTTCTGAAGATCAAAGTATAGCCAAACTCATCGCCGCCACTAAAAAGATATACGGCCACTTGTGCGAAGCATTTCGCGATGAACAATCCCGTTTACCGGCTGATGCCTTACATATTTTCCTACCGATCTTCGTACGAGCGATTCAGCACATACCGATTCCAAGGCTGGAGATGTCGGTACCGGAAATGGACCTTCTCCTCGAAAACGTGATACTTGAACCTGGGCATACAGTTAATTGTTCGTCATTTTTCCCATATCGCGTCCTTCTCACAACTACCAACAGCTTGGAGGTGCGCAAAACTCACTCTAAGGAAACGACTACGGGAATGACTAATATCATAAACTTTACAATGAATGGGCTGAATATCAGCGCGCAGGAGTTTGGATACTGGGTTCGCGTTCACTCCCCTCCATACCTTCCATACTTCGGCGACGAAGGCATTGCTAGCTTTGCGCTTGACAAGCGTGGCATAGATATCTCTCTAGAAATTGAAATTGGCAGACAACGGCTGGAACAGGTGTTTACCCTCCGGTCCGTTCGCGTCCATATCCATAAACTTGACTATACCATTACGAAAAGCAGCTGGGCTTTTCTATTCTGGATGGTCAAACCTTTTGTCAAGCACATGGTCCGCCGTACGCTAGAAAAGAAGATTGCAGAGCAGATCGTAACGGCCGCACAAGCTTTGAACCGCGAGCTTGTTTTTATGCGGGAACGCCTACGGGCGACAAGGATCGCCGACCCGGACAGCTTCGTGACATTCGTCAGAGCGGTTATGGCGAGGATGACGTGCCGGCCAGACCCGGATGTGTACACCAGGATGGGAGTCGATGCACCTCGCGAAGGGATCTTCGAGAATGTGTACACGCCTGCTAGCTTGACGAAGATCTGGCACGAAGAAGGAGAGAGGGCGGACGAGCTTGTTGATGGTGGAGATGAGAGTGGTGGCATCGGGATGACTTGGAGGAATCGGATTTTCGACTATTTGCCCTCCAGGCGTGCATCTCGCCAGCCCACTCGAACAGTTTGAAATTATGTCCCTTATGCCCCGTTTTCTTCCCTTAGCCCTACCTCCTGTTTTCGGTCCTCTCGGATTTTGAATTAGTTAGTGCTGCGACTACTCTGTACTCCGTAATGATATTGCGAATAATGACATTCCCATTCAAACAAAAAGAAAGCAACAACGATGCAGGTCCCCAACATCACTCTGTGTAGATTCTGGGATAGGACATTTAGTGCAAGACAGTTGCCCTTGTAATACCCCTATTGCTTTGATTGATGCTTCCTTGAAGCCGATTTTGATTAGCCCTTCGGAAATATAATAGTCCGCGATAGCTTGCTGGGCGGCTTATCGCAAAGCTGCCACCTTACAGTTTGAGATTCAATCGAGCTGGCAATTGTTCACTTCCCTTTCCTTTGATTTTGATATGGCTTTCTTGTAAACGCCTTATCTACCTTGAAAAACACTCCTGTGAAGTCCTCGCGCTAAGAAATGGTGCTGATGGTGTGCTGGTCATAGCGACACGCAGCTCGGTGATTCTCACCAAAACCTCTCTCATAACTAGTTAGCAGAATCCATATCCTGCCGGACTTTTTCGCGTTGATCTGGTCTCTCCTCACGTCCCATATAAGCTTCCCGGCCATGCTCCCTCTCCCGTTTTTCCTGGGAGTGTCGCTGCTCCTCCTCCTTCCGTTTGCCTTATGCGCCGAGGATTATTACAAAATTTTGGGCTTAGACAAGTCAGCTTCGGAGCGGGATATAAAAAGAGCATATAGGACTCTGAGCAAGAAATATCATCCGGACAAGAATCCGTAGGTCTATTATCTTTTCTTGCGACTACAAGATTCCCGTGTGTGCTATGGGAGTTCTCGCGCGGAACGTGCTAATTGTTTTTATCTTTAATGGATGTTTAGTGGAAATGATTCAGCCCACCAAAAATTCGTCGACATAGCCGAAGCGTATGATGTCTTGTCTACCTCGTCCACGAGAAAAATCTACGACAAATATGGCCACGAGGGCCTACAACAGCACAAACAAGGCGGTGGCGCCCCAACCCACGATCCATTTGACTTGTTCTCGCGATTTTTCGGCGGCGGAGGTCATTATGGACATTCTGGCCAACGTAAGGGCCCCGATATGGAAGTTCGGCTACCCGTGGCCCTTCGAGATTTCTACAACGGCAAAGAAGTGCAGTTCCAAATTGAAAAACAGCAAATATGCGATACCTGCGAAGGTTCCGGCTCCGCCGATGGGAAAGTGGATACCTGTAGCCAATGTGGTGGGCATGGAATTGTCCTAAAGAAGCACATGTTGGCGCCTGGTATCTTCCAGCAAGTTCAGATGCACTGTGATAAATGCGGTGGGAAGGGGAAATCGATACGTAGCCCATGTCCAGTGTGCCATGGAAAACGAGTCGTGCGAAAGGAAGTTCCGTTAACGGCAACCGTAGAACGGGGAATGAGCAAGGGCACAAAAGTAGTATTCGAAAACGAAGCGGACGAGAGCCCCGATTGGGTTGCTGGGGACCTCGTGGTGGTGTTGCTGGAAGATGAACCGAAAATGGGCGAGGACGATGCGGAGAGGACAGATGGAGTGTTTTTCCGCCGTAAGGGCAAGGATCTGTTCTGGAAAGAGGTTCTAAGCCTCCGGGAAGCTTGGATGGGAGGTTGGACACGGAATCTAACCCATCTTGATGGCCATGTCGTTCAGCTGGGCCGTAAGCGAGGAGAAGTTGTCCAGCCACTGTCTGTGGAAACGGTGAAGGGTGAAGGTATGCCAATCTGGCATGAAGGCCATTTGCATGAGCACGATGAAGGGGAAGAGAGTGGAAACCTCTATGTGGAGTACACTGTTGTGCTTCCAGACCAGATGGAAAAGGGTATGGAGAAAGATTTCTTCGCCTTATTCGAGAAATGGAGAAAGAAAAATGGGGTAGACCTGCAGAAGGACACTGGCAGGCCTGTTCCCGCAAAAGACGAATTGTGACATTAATGTATATCACCCTTTTCTTTTCCTTCACTTCCATCCTCACCTTCTCAACTATTCATTTTCCCCTTTTACTTTTAAGGATACCTTGCAGTCTATGCACCTATACATTGGTTCTCAGGTTTCTGAACATACCTATAGAGTTCGTTGTGACTGGCAAAGCGCAATAGAGATGGTTTTGATATCTGCGTGTAGTATAGCTACACGATCTCTTCATGTTCTATATTTTATAGCAAACAAATCCTCCCTTTAATAGTCACTATTGCAAGCGAGGCGGTTTTCTGGACATGATTACTTCTACAAGCAGCTTGCTTCCTGGCTCCCCAGACCTCTGCTAGGTGGACATGCATGGTATGTACATGGCATCTTATAAGCAATTTTTATACTCCCCTACTATATTTACGACGACTTCAAATGATGCGAGTGCTACTACTATCCTTTGCTCGCCTTTTCTTCCTGGCTATATTTATCATGCTTATGGGCAAGGCAGCTTCAAGGGCCATTGAACGGTCATGGAATAGCACAACAAGTCACTCGAGAATGGGCAACATCAGTGAAATCTATATAGCCCGAATGACAGTCTACGTGCCGGGTGGGTGAGACATTTTTCTTTTACCAACATCATACTCCGTACGAACAAGGCTTTCTAGCCCCTAGACGTCCCCTTCTGAGTGCAAGGCCTTGATATCGCAGCCCCCCAACCAGACTATCTGCGGAACGACCACACTAACAGCACCTCCGCCCCGTGGGACATTGACTCCCCCAACGCGGATTACCGGAACGCTCTCACCATGCTCCTCGGCACTGGGCTCCTCAGCCTGACGCACAACGTTTCCCAGATTGACTGTCTATGCGACAACCTCCGGCCCAACAACATTGACGAGCTTGGTTACTTCAATGCCTCCTTGCTCAGGGAGACCCTCTGCACTCCGGGGATTGATCAGTACATCCCCACTGGCATGACGGAGACGCGCAACGCCCTGCGGCGATGGCTCACGGCACTCTGGGCGCGGCAGGTTTCGTATGTGTTTAGGGATCATCTCAGCATCGTGTGTCGAGTGTTTAACGAGAGCCTTGCTGATGAGGTGGGTATTGATGGGAAGCAGGCGAGAGAGATTATTTGCTCTGGGGATTTGATGAACTAAATTTCATTCGATGCTGGTCAATTTGCGGTGGATATTATGAGGACAAAATGGGAGAATGGGATTCAGGCCTCCAAGTCGTGCAGATTGGGCTGGCGCTGAAGGTCTGCGACTCAATATGCCGCTTCTCATTTTCAGTTATTGCCGCGGTACTGTCTGTTGTTTATTTTATTCTTACTTTTATTTCCCCCTACTCTCCTTTTTCTTCGTTGTCTGGACTTTGAATAAATTTAACTGCTATGTCAAGGTTGATTTCACTTGACATCATATAATTCGCTTCATATTTCATACCTATCTGCATTGGAGTTGTCTTTGAAAACCTTTCATCGATACCCCCATACTTCATGTAGCAATTATAAGCCGAACGCTACCTATTTATTTTTTTTTGGCCTTTGAACCCACAATCATGGCGAGGCAGTTCGGTTCCCAACATCATCCCACTTCACACTACGTACCGAAAGTTCGTGTAAACGAATCCGTTTCTTCTGCTGATACCTGCGGGCAAGGAAGAACCCAAGCCCAATCAATGCAAGTCCAGCCACAATCCCCACTACTACTCCCGCAATACCACCACCTGAAAGCCCGTTTGATCCCTTCGAAGACACCGAGTCCGAATTTGACGTCTCTTTACTCGGCGTTGAGGAGCTTGTCGAGCTCGGGCTGGGAGCGACAAAGTCATCTGAAGTGACGTTGAAGCATGGTATTTGTTTTGTGAACTTGCTTGCAGCCACGAATTTAATGTCAGCGCAAGCGTAGAATGTTTCTGTCTCTTTTGAGTCGAACTCTGAGAGGTATTTTAGTTGAAGTGTAGCATTGGCTCCTTCCTCGATGTCTCTTGGGGGGGAGGGGAGCGGGTAGCATTCATGACCGGGCTCGAGCGAGTCAATCCGCTTAGGTTCGATCAAGAGCTCAAAATCGTCGTTCAATTTGGGATCTAGAGTTCGTTGTGGGTTAGAAGACTATGACCTCACGCAATTTGTGGGTAAAAGAACGTACCGTCTTTGTACGAGATGGACACATGGACGTTCCACGAGTCATCTTGGATTATAAGAGCAAGTGCTCCGTTGACTTGATAATATCCGTCAGCATAAATGCATCAGAGTATAGTCCAATCCATCCTCACGTAATGGAAAGTCCGTTCTATTAGTGACCCCTTGAGCGGAACCACAAGGGGCCGTATTGTCTTCTGCAGCTCCCCATTCGCGATCTGGTGGCCACATAAAAGCCACTGGGCCCATCTTGTCTGATTCATCATCGCCATGCGTACTTTGGCCAGCTGCAAATGGCAAGCTAGACGCTACGAAGAGCAAAATGGACTGCGAGAGGCGCATGATGAGGAACAATAGGGTTAAAAAGAGCCTTTCTACTCAAGGTATATAGAAAGTGGGAGCTCAGAGGATATTTTCACTCAAAACTCAGTTTCAAAGAGGGGAGTATGAAAGGTTTATATGTCCTTTGTGCAAGGGGGACAACTATTCAGAACTGGTCCAAATTTTTGTATATTCCGAATCTCGGCTACCACGGATATGAAATCGACTGATCATGATCCCATGATGTCTGTCCCACTGGAGGGAAAAGACCCGATCATGAACACACAAGTAGAACTAGCCGAGAGCCCGGAGGCCCCATAATACATTGGAATCACGACAAGAGGGCCTGTAGAAACCATGTTCTTGAGCCCTTCAACCACAACCGAAATCTTGTAAAATTTTCCGTTTCAGTCACAATAAGCTCTATCGTCTTGGAGTTTTCTCTCGGTATCATTGAGATTGAGACGCTTTCACCGACGGCTTGAAGGGCCAACATGCTTGAGATACTCCCGTCGAGGTGACTTTTGACGTCGCCAGAATTAAGCCCAAACTTTATCTCCATCTGATAATTCTGCTTGGCGGTGAATGCTGCTTTTATTGGCTGTGGTTCCGGTCAGGAAAAGTCAAAATTATCAGATTATCTTATCAATCGGCGAAATGTGACGGCTGTAAAATAAATACTCCGAACTCCGTTAGCATCCCATCACCGTGGTATTAATCCCGGCTCCCAAGCGCTTGCATAATAATCTAGGATCATTGGCAAATATCTCGTCGACTATTCCATGGAATGCTCTACATAGAGGTGTCTACTAATAGTACGTCATCAGGACGCGTCGTTGATTGCAAACAATTGTCGGGGGCAACTATGGAAGAATGTACTCAATTGTGCTGGGTCCCCACGAAACAGCAACCTGATGGGTTGCGTACAGGGGCTTCGAACAGGCTTTAACTTGACGTTTCGCAATTGAGCATGGGAGGACGGCATGGTGATATGGTGGGAGAATGCTCCAACTAGTCAAGAGCATTTTATGGGCACCCAATATCTCGAAAAGGGCTCTCTTTTCGAGTCAAGAGTCCTGTCAAGGCAAGATGAAGTCCAAGTTGAAATATTTTTCAAATCCTTTATTGGTTTCTGAGACTTATTCAATAATGGCTGTCGCGCTCAACATGCTTCTTCCAAAACGGGGAAACCAGAAGCTGTTTGCGGAAGCTGTGAGACCACGAGCGCAAGTGTGGTAATACCATTTGTGACCAAAAGAAAAAAAAAAGAGAAAAAGAAAAGAGCGCCAACAGCACCAGACACTTTAAAGATGATGCAGACATCACTGAAATAACCCAAGATCCCTTCATCAAGAAGGTAACCCAGCACTAAAAGATCGCTATTAATCAAATGGCAAAGGTCCAGGCGAAGCGAAAGCAAAACGGGTGATTAAAAGTAAAAGGCAAAACTGGCTGAACAAGAAAACCCCAGCGCTGCCTGCCCACGAAGGGTCCGCTTAAAGAACACCAACAATAGCTCCAATCCTATCGCTCAAGTATGACGAATAATGACGTGAAGGTCGAAAAAGAAGGTATTTTATCGCTCGAAATGCATGATGCGACTTTTTCGTCTTGCTTTAAGGCGATGCTCCGTGTCCATCAGCCGATTCTGCACCCATCTCCGCACCTCCTGATCGGATTTGATGTCTGAGCAGTTCAGCAGGTCTGTCAGCGCCAGCTTGAGCTGATAATCGCCATCGTTGGATTTTTCGACGTCTGGGGGGATCATGGAGGACAGGCGGGCGTCGATTGCTGGAAAGGGTGAGGCAGGAGGAGTGGATGCGTATCGGATTGCGAGGTGAGGTCGAGAAGTGACAGCAGGAGAGCTGGAGCGTGTTGACGGTTGTGTGAGTGAGTGGGCAGTGCTGGGTAGTGCCCAGCGGCTTTTTGTAGAGAGCATGGACAGAATTGAAGGGGTTCGTTTGTTCGTCGTCCGGTTGTTTGGGAGGAGTTCAGGGTCTGAGGGCAAATTGTTCCTCAGGAGTCAGGGGTTGTTGCTCGACGTTTTTTGCAACACCGTTCGGCAGACGAGCTCAATTGGGAGGATTGCAATTGAATGGTATTAACAGTATATGGAGTGATCGTGGTAGAGGAATTAATGAGTGGAAGTTAAAAATCCGAGACTGGCGAGAGAGAGAGAGGAGAATGGTGTTGATATTTGTGGGAGCAAAGGAGGGAGAATTCCAGGAATTGGCCCCCTAAATCACACCACAACACCCGCAACGTCAATTCCAAGCCAAGTTCAAGGTTGCGCAATCGAAGGGTCCAGGCCCCCGCTAGTGCTACTATCGTGACGTAAGAGAAGGCGATCAATTTCCACTGCGACAAGTTGGAAGTGATAGCTCAATGGCACGCTGCAGTCTGGACAGCATCAACACGAGGAGAGGGGTAGAGAACGTGGCAGTTAATTTATATAATTAACGGCACAGGTCTGCTGCTGTAGCTAGTTGTCCCAACGGTCTGGGAAGAAACTGGTATGGGATCGAGAAATGCCAGACTCTCCATGGTACGGGATAGTTGCCGTCGATTCGCACCCAAAATCAAGTTCTTGCACTCAGTTTCGCTCCAAAAATCCCAGATGGCGACTCGGAAAGCGCTCGTAAGTTTAGGTCCGGGTAACGCACAACTTGCCTCCATCCCGCATATTCCCATTGTTCCAGACCACTGCATCCTGGTCAAGACCGTTGCTGTCGCCTTGAACCCCACCGACTGGAAAAACATCGATGCAGGGGCCGCTGGCACGGTGGTCGGATGTGATTATTCTGGAATTGTCGAGGCAATAGGCAAAAATGTGACCAAGTCGTTCCGGCCAGGCGATCGAGTCTATGGCTCAGTTCATGGCTGCAATCTTTCCGACCCGCCGAGCGGTGCTTTTGCGGAATATGTCGTGGCAAAAGGCGACCTGCAGTCGAAAATTCCAGACCATCTGAGTTTTGAAGAGGCGGCCACCTTGGGAGCTGGTTTGCTCACCGTCTGCCAAGGGCTCTTTCAATCTCTGGGTCTGGCACTGCCAACCTGCCCGATCCTCGAAAATCTTCCGGTGTTGATTTACGGTGGGAGCTCGGCCACTGGATCCCTGGCAATCCAATTCGCCAAACTGTGCGTTTGTCCTGTGCACCCTTGCAGCATCTCGCTTCTAATTTGCCAAACAACATCTTAACTGCTGACGTTTCCAGCTCCGGATACCTCCCAATAACCGTCTGCTCACCCCGCAATTTTGCGTTTGTCACAAGTTTGGGAGCCGTTGCAGCGTTTGACTATCGCGATCCTCAATGCGGTCAGAAGATACGCGCAAGCACCAATAATAAGCTCAAGTTGGCTTGGGATACGATATCATTGCCGGAAACGGCTCGAATCTGTGCTGATGCACTCTCCTCTCAATCTGGATGCAAGTATTTCACCATTTTGCCCAAGCCTTCACCCCGAGATGGTGTCGAGTCGAGGTTCACGAATTCCTATTATATGTTTGGCG